CTTCTGCCCAGCAATTCAGTCCCTCAGGGAGTTTGGATGTGTCTATGGAGCTTCCGTGACCTTTCCTTGTACAAGTTGTGCTTGTTTCCCCAGTATTGTGTACTGTCTTACCCTTCACCAAAAATACTACTTACCTATTGCCTATTTAGTATTTCCTCCCACCCCTCCCATCTCTTGTAACCAACAAAGATTGTTTTTACAAAGGAGGTCTCATACAATATTTGTCCTTCTGTGATTGACTTATTTCGCTCAGAATAATTTCCTCCAGTTTCATCCATGTTATGAGATACTTCACAGATTCATCGTTGTTCATTATCATTGCTTAGTACTCCATTGTGCGTATGTACCATAGTTTATTTATCCATTCATTTGTTGATGGGCAACTAGGTTGTTCTCATCTTTTTGCTATTGTGAACAATGCTGCCATGAACATGGGTGTGCATTTGTCTATTTGAGTGACAGCTCTTCTTGCTCTAGGATATATTCCTAGGAGTGGGATTGCTGGATCGTATGGTATTTCTATTTCTAGCTTTCTAAGGAAGCACCATAGCATTTTCCAAAATGGTTGTATCATTTTGCATTCCCGCCAGCAGTGCATAAGGGTTCTGATCTCCCCACAGCTTCTCCAGTATTTGTTATTTCCAGTGTTTTTGATTCGTGCCAGTAATGCTGGGGTGAGACAGTATCTCATTGTGGTTTTAATTTGCATTTCTCTAATGGCTAGTGATCACAAGCATTTCCTCATGTATCTGTTGGCCGCTTGAATGTCTTCTTTGCTAAAGTGTCTATTCATTTCCTTTGCCCATTTTTTAATGGATTGCTTGTGTTTTTGTTGTAGAGTTGTTGGATTTTCTTGTAGATTATGGAGATTAGACCTTTGTCTGAATTCTACTTTCCAAATTTTTTTTCCCAGTCTGTAGGTTCTCTTTTTACTCTTTTGTTGAAGTCTTTTGACGAGCATAGGTGTTTGATTTTTAGAAGATCCCAGTTATCTAGCTTCTCTTCTGGGGTTTATGTGTTGATGGTTATAGTTTGTATCCTGTTAATGTCGTATATTAGGGCCTGTAGCGTTGGTCCTATTTTTCTTCTATGAACTTTATACTTTTTGGCTTTATATTCAGGTCTTTGATCCATTTTGAATTAGTGTTTTTGTATGGTGTGATGTATGGGTCCTGTTTCATTTTTTTGCAGATGGATATCCAGTTTGGCCAGCACCATTTGTTAAAAAGACTGTCTTTTCCTCATCTGATGTTCTTTGGGCCCTTGTTGACGGTCAGATGACTGTAGGTGGATGGATTTCCGTCTGAGTTCTCAGTTCTGTTCCATTGGTCAATGTATCTGTCGTTGTACCAGTACTAGGCTGTTTTGAGTACCGTAGCCGTATAGTAGTTTCTGAGGTCAGGTAGTGTGAGTCCTCCAACTTTCTTCTTCTTCTTCAATAGTGCTTTACTTATCTGGGGCTTCTTCCCTTTCCATATAAAGTTAATGATTAGTTTTTCCATCTCTTTGAAGAATGTTGTTGGTATTTGGATCGGGATAGCATTGTGTTTGTAAATTGCTTTGTGTAGAATTGTCATTTTTCACAATATTGAGTCTGCCTATCCATGAGCATGGTATGTTTTTCCATTTATGTAAATCCCTTTGGCTTTCTTGCAGTGGTGTTTTCTAGTTTTCTTTGTATAGCTCTTTTACCTCTCTGGTTAGATTTATTCCTTAGTATGTTTATTTTTAGGGGCTGTTATTAATGGTATTGTTTTCCTGATTTCCTTTTCATTGTTCTGATTGCAAGTTCCAGGGAGGACATTATGATGACCCAGTCTCCGGTCTCCCTGGCTGTGTCTGTAGAAGAAATGGTCATCATCAACTGCAAATGCAGCTGGAGTATTGGTAGTGCTTTAGCCTGGTAGCAGCAGAAACCAGGAGAGAATCCTAAGCTGCTCTTCAACTGTGCATCCCCTAGGGCTTCTGGGATCCCCCATGGGTTCAGTAGCAGTGAGTTTGGGGAAGACTTTACTCCCACTACAAGCAATCCCTAGGCTAAAAATGGGTTGGATTATTACTGTCAGCAACATTATAATGCTCTTTTTACAGTGCTTCGACCTGGAAAAAACCTCCTCCCCAGGCTGTGTGTCAGTGACTCTCTGCAGTAGCAGCAGCTGCTTCAACCTCACAGGCCCTAACCTGCACACTTCCTTCATCTACTGAGGGACTGTGTCTCCCAACATACATGTCGGAAGGTTTGCAGGGCTCAGAAGACGGTCAAAGGACTCAAAGTTTCTTTGATTCTCTACTGTGGTAAGTGTCTATAGGAAAATGCACACAAATACTTTGTGTTACTTTCCTTCTGCTGCTGTAATAAATGACC